TATATATATATATATATATATATATATATATATATATATATATATATATATATATATATATATATATATATATATATATATAAAACTTAGCTGTCTAACTGTTTGAGGGGACCATCTCCTCTGGAAATATACGGTCCTACAAAAAAGCATTTATGCAATGGGGCTGCACCAAGGTTGTCAATAAAAATGATGGGAAGCCGCAATTTGTTTTGTGCAGCAAAGTGCTCATGGCGGAGAGCTTGAAGCCCAGCGAATTGAACGACCACTTCAAACGAAGTCATTCCCAGTTGGTAGGAAAAGACATTACAATTTTCACACAGAAAGAAGTAACGTTAAAAGGTTTGCGCCTGAGTACAACGGGCTCTTTTTTACAGTCAACTGAAGCTGGTCCTGCAGTTTCGTATCGCATCGCTCTTCGGATCACCAAAAGCAATAAATCGCATACTACAGGAGAGGAGCTCATCAAACCTTGCATAACGGATGCCGCGAAGCTTGTTCTTGGATAACAACATGCGGAAAATACAAGTATGATATCACTTACTAACAACAGTATCAAAAGTTGTATTGAGAACGTGAGCAAGAATCTGTTGAACACGGTGCTCAACGAAATAAATTCAATTCCTTTCGTCGCAGTACAGTTATATGACTCCACCGATGTCTCATCTTGTTCCCAGCTAATTGTCTATGTTCGGTAGATAAAAGGCGACGGCTTCAAAGAATAGTGCTTGTTCTCAGAATCATTGAGCACAACTACACGTGTCGAAGATGTCTTTCGAGGAAAAGGATCTAAAGTGATCGAAATTAATGGGTGTCTGTACATCTGGGAGATTACCCCATGTTGAGACCGCTGTTTCGTCTGCGCACACCAAGCAGCACACGAAGACAGCGGTGCAAGCTTGTTGTACCGGATTTGAAGCGGGTCGCTCACCAACTCTGTTTCTAAAGCAGAGTGATGAATGTATGGAACGACCTGCCGCAGCAAGTAGTTTAGGCAAAGTGGGTGTCGGAATTTAAGTAATTCCGGGACAAACACTTTGCCGACGCAAAATATATTGAGCACAACACAACATAACGGCTCTTTGTCCCTGAGTGACATTAGACGCAGCTACGCAGAGCAAACACTGTTTGCTGCTTCCGACCAGTAATCAGTAATCAGTCGGAGCATCATTCTTGTTGGGCGTCCTTTCCGGATTCCAAACAGTAGTCAGAATATTTGCTCCACACGCTACCTTTAGCAACTGCAACATATATCGTTATGCTTTAGCAGTGAAAAGTCTTTCATCTGCTTTGTTGGACTCCTTAACCAAGGTAGTGAAATTGGTAAATGTCCTTCGCCGTAGTGCAACAAATACAAGTGTTTTCAAATGGCTGTGCTATGAATTTGGAGGCAAATTCGACGTGCTATTATTGCACACAGAAGGGCGTTGGTTATCACGAGGCACGGTGTTGCACCGAGTGTTTGGCTTCGAGAAGTAATTGCAATGTTTCTTGTAAGGAAATGGCTGTATAAGAGTAAGGGGAACGGTCTCCACTTCATGATAACATACGTAGTTATTTTCAAACGAGCACATCTTGCGGACTGCTTTGGATCAAGCACTGCACTGCAACTCAGCTTGCAAGGAAACAAGATTAAATGTTTTAACAGATCAGGATAGTGTAGCCAGTTTTCTTCGCAAGTTACAGCTTTACCATGGCAGAGCTACTGTTGACGACGTGTCGATGTTTCCAGAACTAAAAATGGTGCTCGTTGGAAAAGATGAAAAATGCACATTCACAGATGCTATAAATTGCCACTTGTCATCCGTGGTGCATTATAACAGCAAAGATTTTGTTTGATTTGGAATATCTCTAAATGCCTGAGTGTTACGACCCTTTAAACCCTTTCGGCCCTGAATTATTTTATGTAAAGGAAAGGCTTTTTCTTTTACTGTATTTAGTTATAGGAAAACAAATATGTAGTTTTTTGTGAATAATGTCTTTAATTATGAGAATTATAAAATGATTCCAATTGAAATCATTGGGGCTTGGCGATGCAGAGAGAACCTAAAGTAAACAGTGCCTATTAATTTGTTGTTGATTCACAGTACATCCTTGTGTACATTAATTGAAACAAACTACGATTGTGTCTCTTTTTCTATGAATATCATGTTTTTATACATGAAAGCTGCCCTTTCGGCATTTTTTTATATTTTATTTTGGGAATAGATATTTCATCATTGTTTGTGAATCAGACGATGTAATAACTGCGCATGTCTAGTCGTTACATCACCCAAGATTGCATCATACTTTTTATGATTAGTAAGGTTTTTGTTCCAACTTCTTTTTTGTGTGATTCAGTCATTCTTTGAGATGGACGTGACTCCCAGAAGGCGCATGAAGATCGTGACCTTGCACGAACACACAGACAAGACCTACAGGGACAAAGCAAGAATAGTAGGCGTCAGTCCGGCAACCGTCAGCCGTGTGGTCAAAAAGAAAAAGGAAACGGGATGCATTTCGCCAAAACGCAAAGGGAAATGTGGTCCTAAGAGGAAAACCACTGCCAGGGATGACGATTACCTAATACGGGAAAGTGTTAAAGATCCTCGGAAGACTAGTGACGCATTAAAACGTGATTTGGGGGAGAAAGGAATAGAAATCAGTTCTTCAACCGTTCGCAGGCGACTCCTAGAAGTTGGTCGGAAAGCCAGACGGCCTGTGAAAAAACAACTTCTGACAAAAGTAATGAACGGTAAACGTTACAAATGGGGACTAAAATACAAAAACTGGACAAAAGAAGATTAGAGAATAGCCCTATTCAGCGATGAAAGCCATTTCTATGTTCATGGTCAGAGAAGTCAGTATGTTCGGAGGTCAGAGGGAGGAAAGGTTCGTGATTCCCACATTGACCACTTTGTGAAACGCCCACAAAAGCAGATGTTTTAGGGGCGCTTTAGTTATTACGGCGTCGGTGCCTTGCATCCAGTCCAGGGCATGATGCGCTCTCCACAATATGTAGAAGTTCTCCAAAGAAGAGCTGTTTCAGAACTAAAAAAGACATTTCCTGACGGATCTGGCGTATTTCAACAAGATCTGGCCCCGTGCCACACATCAAAAATGGTCAAATGGTCAAGACTAATCAAATAACCATCTTGGACTGGCCTGGGAATTTACCAGATCTAAACCCCATTGAAAATATGTGGTCTATTTGCAAGCAACGCCTTCGTGGCATGGACTGTACGACAAAGGAGAAACTTAATCATGCTTTTATTCAAGTTTGGTACAGGGACCCAAGATGGGCTAAAGTTTGTTCGAATTTAGTGGATTCCATCCCAAACCGTATTAAAATGCTACTCAAAAGTCGAGGAGGTTATGTTGTGTATTGATGTGAGTATATTAGTGCAATTCATTATAACAATTTTGAAAAAAAGGTTTTTCAGTGTTTTCGCAGTTTGTTTCAATTAATGTGCACAAGGATGTACGTCCCGACATTGCAAGTGGAAATCTTTAAAGCAGTTCTTCTCCTCTTTCAGATAGAGTGAAACATTACATTTTCCACGCTTTATTCCACTTTAACTTTGGCTACATGGTTTGCATCTTTGTCTGTCAAGTGTTTGTTCTGGCCAATGACCCACGCCATCGTACCATACATCAGCAACCAGATGGGGTGGTTTTGCAACCCTCTTCTTTGGTAGACCTTCCACAGCGCTGTCTGATGGTCCCCCTCTCTTCTTTGGTTCAATTTTTCTCATTTTCAGAACAGCAGTAGCTATGTTGCACACAAAAGAAATTGGTGGTTGGTTCTTTTCTTTGATCACAGTGTCACCTAAACAAAAGCCATGCATACACACACGCCATATTTATGAAATGAAACCTTATTTCTAGGTAGAACCGACGACTCTTGATGTTGGTACGATACAGCTGAACAGGCATGTCGTGCAGAACAGCGTCTCCCATGAATGTGTTGTATTCCTTTTCATTAGATGGGCTAGGGATATTCACATACTACTTAGTAGCAACAGACCACCTTCTCACATTTCAAACTGGCTCCTGACTTTATAAGTGTAGAGCAGGTGCGCAGCTTTATTGTCAAACCATTTTATCAGCATGACATTTTCGTTAGTTTCAACACTAAAATCATAGGATCCTCTGCCATTCTTTTCAGTGAGGCATCTGTCTTCAAAACACAGCCTACCAACCTGTTCTTTCTGACAGTCCCCACCATGTGAATTCCCAAATTCTTTAGTTCTACAGCCAGATCAAATGGGCTGAACCAGTTGTCAATACATAACTTATGATGCTGGTGCTTAGGCAAATTTTCAACTAGCCTAAGGACAACATGACTACTTATGCCTAGAGGATTATCTTTCATCTTTGTCCCTTTGCTTACAAACTTTCAAGGTCATAGACAATCCCACTTATTCCAGCGGGTGTCACCCCAGTGATGTGGATTGTTCGTCACATATTGTAGCATGGAAGTGTGGGACTTGAGTGGGGTCATCATCTGATCCACTGAATTATATTCCTCTGGTACAATTTTCAGAAAACTTTCCCTCAGATTCAACAATAAATGTGCTTTTGAACGGTTTATCATAACCATTATGTTCTCTTGAATCCATCTTATCATCGCTGCTGATGTGCAAGTAGTTTCTCGAGTTACAGCACCGATCACGTGACATGGTACTTTCATTAGGATCGTAGTGTGTAGAAGTAGCCCAGTACATCCAGCATTTCGGCACGTGACCCATTCTAGATAAAATATGAATACCAAGCAATTGGCACATTTCAATCACTGTTCTGTTGATGCACTTCTGTTTTTCTTGTGTAAAATACAGGTTTGTTTGATCAACCAAATTTTCAATTGAAACTGATACCTATAAATTTGTCGAAGGAATTCTGTGAACTCATGTCTGCATTTGGAGGTTCAACAAAGGCAGCAAACGATAGGTCACATGCACTGGTTCCATATTTTTGTATCTCGGACATTTATTCCTTATCTCTCATGTACTGGAGGCTCGGCTTCATTTCGTCTTCCAAGTAGCATATTGAGGGGGTGTGTCATCTTCATCATTGTGCTCTGCCTCATCACTTTCACCGTCATCGTTTGGATGAATTTCCACAGGAATGCTGTAAGTGTATGCATTCATAATCTCAGCTGCAACATCTCCATCTTCTGCAACTCTACTCCTAATAGCTGCTACCAATGCCACCTCCTCTTCTGAAACATCTTGATAGTTATAATCGTCAACCTCTGACATATCTACCTCTAGGAGTATAAAGGCTTGCTCGAGAGAAAATCGCCTCGACATATGCTAAAAGAAAATGGATGTAAAAATACAATTATATGGTGACAGATAAGAGCTCGTACAATATCTAAAACCTGCGATAATCTCATATCAGAAAAATAATAAATAAATATGTATTTCGCTTGTTCAGAGCGTAACGCTTCAAAGTAGTGCTCGTTGGCTTAACTCCATTACGTCTGAGAATCTTCCAAAAGTGTTTGGGATATTCACTACGCAAAAGGCATCATCCAGAAACTGCACCGTCGCCTTCGCCACAGCAAGTCTCGTGTTGAACCTAACGTACTGATTAAGTTGTCTCAACGTAGTGGGATCCTTGGCTTGTTTCAACTGAGAAAATAATCCCTGAGATGACATCAGAATCAAACAATCCAAGGATCCCACTGTGTTGAGACAACTTAATCAGTACGTTAGGTTCAACACGAGACTTGCTGTGGCGAAGGCGACGGTGCAGTTTCTGGATGAATGCCTTTTGCGTAGTGAATATCCCAAACACTTTTGGAAGATTCTCAGACGTAATGGAGTTAAGCCAAAGAGCATTGCTTTGAAGCGTCAAGCTCTGAACAAGCGAGACACCGTGGTTTCTCGGATTGATGAGCTTTACCGCAAGCGGTGTAGCTACTACGACGCGCTGAGTGAATTGGACCTTGAGAAATATGTATTTCTTACAACAAGTATACAATCGCCAAATAAATAAATAAATATATGTAATCTTGCTCCCTCATAAAACACTTTTTAAGCGATAGAAATCAGCATAAGACACAAACTAATGCGTTAGATATCCGTGAAGTCCCTTGTAAACAAAAATCTCCACCCACACATGTGTATGACCGGTTGATTCCAAATGGGATCATTACATTTTGGTTTACAATTACCCAACTTGTGTGTTTATGTTCTAGTTCCTAAGAGACTCATATTATTTTTCAATTACATAAGTAATAAAAGACTGACGTTAACAAGACTTTTAGGTAAAACACATACCTGAAATAATGTTGGACAGTTCCAAGGAGTCGGGTAGACACAATACGCTTTGTACCTCAACGAACAAAAGCAATCTCCATTCACGTACTATTTCGAACTGAAACGGGAAACCTCCACCACCTATCGGCAGGGACCCGTAACTACGCCATACGATGACATTTGGAAAAATCCGTCACATCGTTTGCGGTAAAAAAAAGAACCACGAGCGGTAGTGATTCCAAATAGAATCACCAGGGCAGAAATGGGTTAGTAGGTGAAGAAATGTTTCCAGCTACTGAAAGCGAAGTCAAAACACAATGCCTGGAAATGCGAGAAGAAGGCGAACTGAAAATAGTTTCCAAAGTGCACTACTGGTAGCATTCTATGCAAAAACAAATGATGATTATCTATTTCTGTCTGAGAGAGCATGGGGAAGATTGATCCCTTTCACGAAAACTTGGAGGTGTGAAAGTGGATTTTCCACAACGATGACAATGAAAACAGAAGCCAAAACTAGAATGAACTTTGAGCCTTAACCGAAACTGCACCAAGAATAGCAGAAATTGTTTGCGTTAAGCAATATGATGCATCTCAGTGATGTAAGTCCCTCTCTCGCTTGCACAAATGTTTCATCAGAATAACTGTTTTCGTACTTTTATTGCTCAAAAGAGTAATTCCAACAGACTATCAATTCCCGTAATTAGAAGCAAAAGGGCGATAGTAATCCATTAGTTAGCCTTTGAAACGGAAATTTGGGGTGGACTTGATGTAGCAAACCCGAGTTGTGAGTAACAGCCTCATAAAAGTTAGGAACCGCTGGGGTACAACAGCATGCCGAAAAGACATGACATTGCTTTCTAGGACATGAGCAAGAATACATTAAGCGCCGCAGTTAATTAAAAAAAATTTGTGTATATTTTTCTCGCTACAATCAGATGAACGGACAGACATCACATCTTGTTCCAAGTTACTTGCTTATTTTCAGTACATAAAAGCCGAAGGATTCAAATAAGAATACATATTCTCAGAATCACTGAGCCTTACGACAGAACTTGCGATGTGCGTTGGTCGAAATCACACTATACAGTCCAGAAACTGGTTCTTCGTCGCCTTTTGACATAATGATGCGTTGCTCAAAAATAGGTGCTTTCGTTATTTGTAAGATCGAAGTAATTACATATGGCATACATTTCCTATACTTGAAGAAAATGGTGTGATAGTAATTAGGTGATTGGCCTTCGAAAGTTTTGGGCTAACCTCCCATGGTGAATTCACTTTATGGACGACGGCCACATAAAGGTTTGGAACCACTGATCTAGACGGTCGAACGATTTTGAGAAATCTTGTTTGATTCCATGGCAACCATGCTAGCGTTGATTAACTCATCTAAACAACCTCAATCCACTGGTAAATTTGTGGTACACGATGGCTGTCGTCGGAAGCCGTGCTGATGGGGCGCAATGGTGTCGCAGTTTTCTAGACAGCAGGCCAACGCATCGACAGTAATATATTGCAGAACTGGTAGATGCGATAATAGGCGGTGGGTAGGTACAGACCTGTTTGCTGTTTTACCAATGGCTTATTGGAAGCTTCCACATGACAAGAACCTCGTCCTGGACTACGCAGCACTAAAAGAAGTACCTAAGCTACTGAATTGGTCTTGTTGCCACTCCCAGTGCCTTTGGACGAATGGCGTTGACCCTGGGATAGCTGTGATTGCGCAGCAAATAGCTTTTCTGTAAGACTGCTTCCGCAGCAAAAGAGAGGTGGTTGGGTTCTGCTGGCGGAGCAACAAAAGCTGGAAGATGGCCCGCTTACAGAACCCTCTGAAATGCGGGGGCATATTGCGTCCGCAATTCGTATGCCGTTTCTAAGATAGTTCTTGTTGGGTCCACAGCGATCTGCGGTTAACGAGAGCACTGCTTCACTTTTTGACGGTCAATGATGTGCTTATACAGGTGTTTATCGTCAGCAATAAAGTTTTCGCCATATTTTGCTGATTCGCCACTAAGTCTTCTATGAATGTTTGAATACAGTGATTATGTTGAATTACGTAGGTATCCTACTTATCTGGCACGTGATAGAATCTAGACGCGTATCATAATACACTGCATAGCAAGATTCATTTTTGTGTTCCGCTTCTTTTGAAAGAAACTGTTTCTGACCAACTTCAAACCTATGTTTCCGATTTTTCTTTGATTGGTCCACTGGATTGGATAGCGAATTTAATCCAAGCGAGCTCTGGAAAATCTGCAACTAGTAATGACCATTTGGTGACATCGATCACTTGAGCTAAGCGATTGTTGTGCACAATCGTGCACACATGCTTAATGTGTTCATTTAGACATTTCGCATAGTATACGCGTCTGAACTTCATGATCAGCGAATGCGTCATTTTTTTTCAGATATGGTCAACACCATGTGATGAACCCAATACGCAAAGTGACGTGGTTGCCAAGCGGAGCGTTGGCAACGTGCTATTACAGCTGAGCCTTGAAATGTTCGGTCACGGCAGGAGTTTTTGGAGAAAGTACATTGACATCGCCAATGGTGAGAATGGGTGTACATCCCGTGTAGAGTAGATCTCAGGGCACTCGCTAGGTGACATGTATCCCTGCCTTTCAGTTGTGAGTAGGACAAGAAGGAATCCGATTTCCGTGAAGCTGCATTATTCGTGGCCGCACTTCGATAATATAGTGTTCCCATATCCTTTTGCGAGTCTGTGGTTTCCGGTGATCTACCTATCCGGTAGGGAGACTTCGGCGTCCCCATTTCTTCCGGAGTGCAACCATGTCTCGATTGCACCGATGATATCGCATAGCTTGTAAACTTGGCTACTTTTAAGTTCAATTAAATTATTGAAAAGACATTGAACATTCGCTTGGAAGCATCTAGCTCTTCTGTCTATTGGAACCCACAGCGGGCTTGGTACTTACGTGTGAGAGGTAACCGATCGTCACTCGTTTATTTGCTGGGTTGCTGATTTCTTTTCCTACTTTGGCTTTGTCATGGTGTTTCCCAACAATCGCCACGACCTGTTTCCGAGTTGAGTATAAAAACGGTCAAGCAGAACACCTGTGTGATCAACGGTATAAATACCTGTTCAGATTCGACGCATGGAATTTGTAAGGAATTGGAAACATTTAACCGAAGTTCAGATGGATGGTTTTGCTGCTTGTTCTGTAAGGCTTCTAATTAGTACGCTTCTGGCGGCCGTTTAGTTCTCTGAGCTTGACAATTTTGTTGTAGACGTGCTGCCACCAATCGAGGTGAACTTATCAATTTTCACCTCGATTGGTGACAGCACGTCTGCAACCAAATTGTCAAGCTCAGAGAACTAAACGACAGCCAGAAGCGTAATAATTAGAACGCTTGTAGAACAAGCAGCAAAACCATCCATCTGAACTTCGGTTAACTGCTTGCAATTCCTTGCAAACTCCATGCGTCGAATCTGAACAGGTACTTATACCGTTGATCACACAGGTGTTCCGCTTGACCGTTCTTATACTCAACTCTGAAACAGGTCTTGGCGATTGTTGGGAAGCACCATGACAAAGCCAAAGTAGGAAAAGAAATCAGCAACCCAGCAAATAAACAAGTGACGATCGGTTAGCTCTCACACGTAAGTACCAAGCCCGCTGTGGGTTCCAATAGACCGAAGAGCTAGATGCTTCCAAGCGAATGTTCAATGTCTTTTCAATAATTTAATTGAACTTAAAAGTAGCCAAGTTTACAAGCTATGCGATATCATCGGTGCAATCGAGACATGGTTGCACTCCGGAAGAAATGGGGACGCCGAAGTCTCCCTACCGGATAGGTAGATCATCGGAAACCACAGACTCGCAAAAGGATATGGGAACACTATATTATCGAAGTACGGCCACGAATAATCCAGCCTCACGGAAATCGGATTCCTTCTTGTCCTACTCACAACTGAAAGGCAGGGATACATGTCACCTAGCGAGTCCCCTGAGATCTACTCTACACGGGATGTACACCCATTCTCACCATTGGCGATGTCAATGTACTTTCTCCAAAAACTCCTG